CATTTATAGAAACTTGGACGCAGGTGTTATGAAATAAACTTACATTGTATTTTCGTCATTTTAAGAAATAATCCTGACATGAGATATCGAAATGTCGTGGTGGTAGCAAATTGATTCGGGAAATATCATCTGGTAGAAATTTTCATACGAGACATAATTATATCCCCTTTTGTTTGATGGTTTAAATAAAAGATTACGATTCTAACATTTTTTCATGTTTGTATTATAATTAGCTTATGTTTTGTTAAGACAGGGCACGATTATAATTTTAATTTGTATATTTTAATATTAAAGAAATTCTTAGTTTTAGTAATGGGCTTGTCCTCCTTTCAATAAAATGTTGTCCGGAACTCGGCAGATGAGGGTTTTCCATTATATCCTGGGAGCATTAAACTTTCCCTGTTATAACAGAAGATTCTACCCACATGCAACCAGTGCCCGACAAGAACGACCGTCTGCACTGTTTGCTTTACTTAACTAATTTTGAAATTTTCCCTAAAAATGACGAATGGTTTTGTCCAGAATGAAACATATAAAATTTCCCTAAAAATGACGAATGGTTTTATCCAGAATGAAACATATAAAATTTCCCTAAAATTTACGAATGGTTTTGTCCAGAATGAAACATATAAAATTTCCCTAAAAATGACAAATGGTTTTGTCCAGAATGAAACATATAAAATTTCCCTAAAAATGATGAATGGTTTTGTCCAGAATGAAACATGGACAAGTTCATTTAAGATATTGAGAGTGGTATAAGGGTTAAATACTTCAGTGGTCTCTCAACAGAGTTGAAAGTTACACTTTTAACATTATGATATAATTATGATATAGAAATCTAATTATGGTAATTAGGATGCAGAAATATATCCCGCTTGACAATTTCATTAATGCTAATTATATTTTCATTCAACCATATTACTTTATATAACTATAATTATAAAAATATAGTGTCAAAGTTTGAATCGGTAAATCGTCAGGAACTTGTATAAATGCCGGCAGCTGGCAGAATCCACTCAAACTGATTAAAGAATAAATAATTGATGAAGTTGAATCACAACCCAAAGGAACCCTTCAACAGTGTATGAATACAATGCAAGACTAGGATGGTTACAAAATTTATGCCGCTACTGATTATGGGTTCATATTTGTCTAACATTCTAAACTCGTATTTAGCACTGTATCAGGTCTACATTGGTCCTCCGAGAATAAATTTCCCAGAGTAAAATGAGCAGTGACATTTTATAATACACATTTAGTGCCATTGCCATGGCAATACTTCTGTATAATTTGTTTAAAGTTATGGTAGGAAATATGTTTTGTTGTAATCTTTCAATGTGACAATGTCATGAAATTGTGTTGTTGAAAGAACGCAGTAGCCATGTTACCTGCATTCTATGATGATGTCATAACGATTTGTCGGTACTACATCATTTTAAATATTTTAAATTCATTTAGTTAAAGAGTAGAAAAAGTGAAAGCTTTTGCAGACAAAGATGAAAAGCCTCCTACATCGTTGCTAAATTTGATATTAAGCAGAAACATCTCTAAAACCTGTGCCTTCTGGCCAGAGTGACTCTTATTTTTGGCTGCGCTAAGATTTTTTCATATTCACATTTTCATATTTAAATTAGTTCAATAGAAAAGTTGCATAAGAGATGTATGGGAGTAATGTTTCTAGAATGATCTTATAAGAATTACTTATGATGCTTTATTCAAGTTAATGATGAAAGTGTGCCGTCATCCCTTGTTTAATCAGTTAATCATTCCCCCCCCCCCATACACATACAGATCAGATACAGATAAATGCAAGACCAACTACTGTCCCACTTCCCCCACACATACAGATCCGTGCAAGACCAACCATTCTCTTCCCCCCCCCCCCCAAACACACATGCAGATCAGTGCAAGACCTTCTACTCCCCTCTCCCCACACACATATAGATCAGTGCAAGACCCACCACTCCCCCCCCCCCCACACACACATATAGATCAGTGCAAGACCCACCAGTCTTCCCCACACACACATATAGATCAGTGCAAGACCCACCAGTCTTCCCCCACACACACATTAGGGTCAGTGCAAGACCCACCACTCCCCCCCCCCCCCCCCCACAAACACATAAAGATCAGTGCAAGCTTAATAAGACCCTACACATGCATGTGGCACACACACACACACACACACACACACACACACACACACACACACACACACACACACACACTGAAGTAGTTATTGGCACCTTAACATATCTGAGGGCAATGTTGTTAGATTATGTACAACCATATGTGCTTAATCTCTGTGTGTAATTATTTACCTATCACAATTAATAATTTATCCTCAGTTTTATGATTGAAAATATGCAAACATAATTAAATATTAATTAAAGTGTATTTGATTAGAAGCTGTCATGCCAGCTTTAATTACCATCTTCACAAGCCACGTGTTGCATATCCGTTAAATGATGCTTAAATATGTATTATACTTATTGTTTGGCTATTGTTTGGTTGGTAATTTGTTTGTATATAAATTTTTAGTTTAATTTTAGTCAAAAAGAGAAATATATCTGTGGGTCTTGCAATGATTGTTAAGGTATTTATCTCTGTGGGTATTACAACGATTGTTAGGGTATTTATCTCTGTTGGTCTTGCAATGATTGTTAAGGTATTTATCTCTGTGGTTCTTACAATGATTGTTAAGGTATTTATCTCTGTGGGTCTTACAATGATTGTTAAGGTATTTATGTTTGTGGTTCTTGCAATAATTGTTAAGGTATTTATCTCTGTGGGTCTTGCAATGATTGTTAAGGTATTTATCTCTGTGGTTCTTACAATGATTGTTAGGTATTTATCTCTGTGGGTCTTACAATGATTGTTAGGTATTTATCTCTGTGGGTCTTACAATGATTGTTAAGGTATTTATCTCTGTGGGTCTTACAATGATTGTTAAGGTATTTATCTCTGTGGGTCTTGCAATGATTGTTAAGGTATTTATCTCTGTGGGTCTTGCAATGATTGTTAAGGTATTTATCTCTGTGGTTCTTGCAATGATTGTTAGGTATTTATCTCTGTGGGTCTTACAATGATTGTTAAGGTATTTATCTCTGTGGGTCTTATAATGATTGTTAGGTATTTATCTCTGTGGGTCTTGCAATGATTGTTAAGGCATTTATCTCTGTGGGTCTTACAATGATTGTTAGGTATTTATCTCTGTGGGTCATGCAATAATTGTTAAGGTGTTTATCTCTGTGGGTCATGCAATGATTGTTAAGGTATTTATCTCTGTGGGTCATGCAATGATTGTTAAGGTATTTATCTCTGTGGGTCTTGCAATGATTGTTAAGGTATTTATCTCTGTGGGTCTTGCAATGATTGTTAAGGTATTTATCTCTGTGGGTCTTGCAATGATTGTTAAGGTATTTATCTCTGTTGGTCTTGCAATGATTGTTAAGGTATTTATCTCTGTGGGTCTTGCAATAATTGTTAAGGTATTTATCTCTGTGGGTCTTGCAATGATTGTTAAGGTATTTATCTCTGTGGGTCATGCAATGATTGTTAAGGTATTTATCTCTGTGGTTCTTGCAATGATTGTTAAGGTATTTATCTCTGTGGGTCATGCAATGATTGATAAGGTATTTATCTATGTGGGTCTGGAAATGATTGTTAAGGTATTAATTTATCTCTGTGTGCTCTGGCAACTGTTATTAGGGATTATCTTTGAATGATTTTTAGAATATGCTTGCAACAATTGTAAGGCTGTTTTGAGACAAAAAAATGACGTGGAGTGCTTTAATTATTAAATCAGTCCATTTATACTGTTTAATAACTTTACTTCAGTACTGTTTATAACTTTTTCTTAAACACTTGACATTTACTTCAACACTTTATCAAAGGTATATTTACACCAGTTTACACAGTTTTCTTGTAATATTGACTCGTATAATTATAAAAGCGAGAAAATTTCATGCCTCATTCTTCTTACAAGCTCGTCAAGATGGAGTACAACGCACTTATAATCTGAGCAGCCTGATACATCATAGCAGCATTGGTAATGTCAAACATCGCATTAAAACACAAATGACGGAAGTTCTCCCTGCCGGAATATATTGATCGAGGACGCATTTTTAAAAAATATTTTACGATTTTACAATATCAACTGTCATAATTCCGATGTTTATTACTGAAATATACTGAAATTATTTGTTGGAAATACTTGATAGAGACTTAATACATTATAATACTTGTATAAAGCGATTTTAAAATTCAGATAACATCTCTGGTTAAGAATAAATGTTGATTTTAAAACGCATAATAATGCTTTAAGCTCTTTGATATGCGTGCATGGAAATTTGATATTTTTGTGTGAAATATAGGTTTAGTGTTATTATTGCTATTTGTTATCAGGGTTGGGATCATGTGATAATTATCGAAGCTGTTTTTATATATGTAATATCAATTATACAGCCATTGTCATCGCAGAAAATGCTTTTTAGAAAATGAGTTAAAGTGATCAGGGGTTGTCTAGACCGATTTTATTGTGCAAAGGAAGATGAATTATGTTTATTGTCTCAATGTCATCACATATCCTGACTATTTTCTGACATGAAGCAAGCTGAAACAAGCATATGTGTATGTGTGTATATTATAAGTGCTTGTCTGAATGTACATTTCTTTTTTTAAAGGTTGTTACCCTTTTATATTTCTAAGCTTTATCTAAGAGTTGTCTTTTCTTTATAATTTTAGGTAGAATCTAATTAAATTACTATGTTTCAGTATTTTCCCAAGTTTACCATTTTCAGAGTTGTTCCCCCTTTAAGTATTAGAAGAAACTAACTGTTTTCTGAGTTATTCTCATTTTAAATGTTTTGCAGAATCATTCCCCTTTAAAATTTCAGGTTGTATATTTCACAGTTACTCCCCTTTGTACAGTTTTTTTCCAGGGTTGTTTCCCCTATATTTACAGCTTTTTCAGTATTGTTCCACTTTTCTATTTTCAGGTAGAAAGCTAATTAAGACAGATAGTAAAATAACAAAATGGGAAACAAATCTTCAAAAAAGAAGCTTCCAAAGGAAGATCTAGATTTTCTCACACAAAATACAAAATTCTCCAAGAATGAGATTAAAGACTGGTACAGGGGCTTTATGGTAAGTCACAGAATGATGTTACACTATTTAATTTGTTGTATCACCAGGAGTTGGTCAGCTTTGACTTCCGAACTTTTCAATGTTCAATCTGGAGCAATTTATTTAAAAACTTGTCAAAATGAACAGAAGTAAGACAGGCTCTGCTGAGTACTATGGTTCATTACTTATCATTTACTTACCCTTAATTAATTCCTGCTAATTTTCATGAAAATTTTAAAAATGTAATAAAAAGTAAAATATGGTAAAGTTAACAAAGAAAATAATTTAAACATACAAATGGCACTTAAAACCCATTTTATTTACCGAAAAGAGGTCTAATTATGCAAAAATAGCCCTACCATGTTAGTCAATAACGCAGTAGAAAAAGGTAAAAAAAATGCTGCAAAATTGGTCATTTATGGCACATAACATTGAAATTATTACTTATATCTTTAATCTTTTTACATTTTTTAAAATCTCAGTACACTATTCTTAAAGTAACACTATTCTTAAGATCGATTTTCTTTAAATATTTTGGCTCATCTGGAGGCATGAAGATTTTAGAAAGTTTATAAAAGTAACCTTAAATCTGAATGAATTTATTTGGAGTAGTTTAAATGGAATTATTAAATTTCAAGGACATTCTTGTAGTTGGTTTATTACTTTGCTATAAATAGTCTTATTTAATGTCATGAAGTCAAATGTAAGTTAAATCATGGAAATTTATTCTCTTGTTTTGTTTTCGTCAGATTTGATGTTATTAAGATAGTGTAATCGGACATCAAAGTTAGAACTTGTTCTGTATTCATATCTTCAAGCAAGCCATATAAAGCCTTCTTTTGATTTATACTTTTAGCATATTAAAAATCTAATCAATGATAGCATCTTATGTGGAACCTGTTCTGTATACCCATTTCATCAATTCAGCCTGAGAAGAACTGTGTTTGATTTATTTTCTATTCATACAAATTGTATAAGATCTAAAATTCTAATTTATTTTTTTCCCTCCTTATAAGATTATGCAAGAATTGACCTAAATGACTTTTTACAGTGCAACCTCTGTAGTGTGACCCTCTATAAAGCAATAACCTCTTCTAGAACTTTCCCACAGTACAACAATGAATTTAACTTCCGCAATGAGTATGATTCCACTATGAATTTAACCTATCTAGAGCAACACTTCTATGCAACAACCCTAAAAGGTGTTGTTCTGCAGAGATTGTACTGTATAACATCATAAAGCACAGAATATCAAAAATCTACCAGAAAAAATCCATGAAAAAAACAACAATTGTTCAATCCAAGACAGGATGGATAAGTCACAACCTGACAAATATATTTTGTATTTACCAATGCTAAATTAAATAAAGAGATTTCTTTAAATTATTGGAGAACAGTAATCTCAGGACAACAATATAATATAGACAGCAATTTATGCCTCCCATGGCTTCTTATACCTTTTGCTTTTATATCTTCTGTATTTTCTGCTAGTGTCCTCTGCTTTTGTATCCTCTCCTAGTATCTTCTGCATTAATTTTGTATCTTTTGCTTTTGTATCATCTGCTTTGTATCTTCTGCTAGTATCTTCTGTTTTTGTATCTTCTGCTTTTGTATTTTCTGCTTTTGTATCTTCTGTTTTTGTATTTTCTGCTTTGTATCCTTTCCTAGTATCTTCTGCATTTGTATCTTTTGCATTTGTATCTTCTGCTAATATCTTCTGCTTTTGTATCTCCTGCTAGTATCTTCTGCTTTTGTATCTTCTGCTTTTGTATTTTTGCTAGTATCTTCTGTTTTTGTATCTTCTGTTTTTGTATCTTCTGCTTTAAATTTGTATCTTCTGTTTTTATATCTTCTGCTAGTATTTTCTACTTTGTATCTTCTGCTAGCATCCTCTGCTTTCATATCTTTTGTATTATTTGCTAGCATATTCTGCCTTTATGTCTTCTGCTTTTATATCTTTGGCTTTGTATTGTCTGCTTTTGTATCTTTGGCTTTTGTATTGTCTGCTTTTGTATTTTCTGATTTTGTAACTTTTGCTTGTTTCTCCTGCTTTTGTATCTTTTGCTAGTATCTTCTGTCATAATTTAACTGTCCTTCTGCTATGCTGTCATTCATATTAAAGAAAAAAAAAATTAGAAAAAGATTATCTGATTTTGTTATTTGTGTAACATGTTCAATAAAAAAAGGATTTGGTATAAAATAATGAAAACTATATTTAATTCATGAACAAGAAAATAAGTAAAATATGTCAACATATTTTTGCATTTGTTTAATAAATAAACAATGTATAAACAACATTTCTGAAGAAATGCGTAGATTTTTCTGTCAGTACCAGCTCTAACTGTACCTTACTTTCATTTATTGTATTAAAAGTAGGAGTAATATTCAATTGTGAAATTTATTAAAAAATCAAAAATCAAAAAAATAAAAATTGGTGAAAAATAGAGCGAGTTTGCTAGCTGTTCTCTACTTACTTTCACACAAAATATTTAATAACTTTATTTTTAATAAAAGAAAAATTATCAAATTTGCATTATGACGGGTCAATTCTTTACATTTTTTAAAAATTTTCTTGTGTATGATAAGATGTCAATAATATTATGGCCATTTAAAGAAATTTATTAGTGAAAAAATACATTTAAAAAAAAACCCCAACAAACATGCTATAATATATACATAATGCTTAACAAATGTTTAATAGAAAAGAGTATCATTTGTTTTTTTGGTCCTAATGTGGTTCAGAAAATTATTTGTTTTATGATTATCATTTTACAAAGACAATTTTCTTTCTTGTTTCACAGCGAGATTGCCCAGACGGCCTTTTATCAAAGACGAAATTCTTAGAAGTGTATTCCACATTTTTTCCTGCGGGAAATCCCGACCAGTTTTGTGAACATGTGTTTCGATCTTTTGACAAAGACAATAGTGGTAAAATAGACTTCAAAGAGTTCCTATTAGCTATAAATATCACATCAGGGGGTAATCCTTCTCAGAAACTCAACTGGGCCTTTGCCATGTACGACATCGACGGAAACGGAACTATAGAAAAGAACGAAATGGTTGAAATTATTAAAGTAAGTATTGTGATGCCATTATTGTGTTTCTTTGAGCATTTCATTTGTAAGTTCGTTAAAGATTAAAAATGAGAGGTTTTGTATTGTTTATTACTTTAAATGATCGTCCATGAAACAGTTAAGGTATCGAATCTCTGATGGACATTATTTTCAACTTTGTTTAACGTATTGTTTTCTTAACTTTTATTATATCACAGTATTTTCTTCATATTTTAAACACATTATGAGTTAACCTATTACTTCATAAATGTTTTATTTCTTTCTGGTTACGGAAACTTTTCTGGCTGTATTTCATACCTATTAATTGCTTATTTACACATGTACACCTTTTAAACAATACCATATCAGGCCATCATTGTACAATGTATATACTTTCCTTATACTTAGTAGCATTTATACCAGGTTGCTTTTTGTTTTTCCTTCAGTTTGTGGTTTTAATGTTAAAGTTATTGATTTTGATGCTCTTTGGTAAATAGGACTGCACTTGAAATAGAGTAACCCAATTAAAATCAATTATTTTAAGTTGATTTTCTTTTGAAGAAGGTTCTGTTATTGTATCGAAATTGTCTTTTCCACTTACCATAATATCTTTGACATTATTAAACAAATTGTTCAACAAGTCGTAAACCTGTTTTATATTTACAAACTGTCATTTTCTTCTTTCCTATCTTTTCAGTCATTTAAGCCCTTTTGGGCAATTGAGCATTAGTGCCAGGAAACTTTCTGTAAAGAGTAAAGTGGTCATGCCATTTTTTCCGTAATGTTTGATTGATTTTATCATTTGCCTTTTATACAATTATAGGAAGAGATTTCTATGTTAAGTGTCAATCATTTTGACCTCCCTGAGAATGTTTTAATTTCCTCGCAAAACTACAGCTTATCTCGTAAGAATTCGTGGCATTGAAAATCAGAAAAAAATATGTTTTGTATTTCTTAGCTTCTTAGTCGGGGAAATACATCATTTTACAGAGCCGTAGGATTTTCTAAAATCCTGATAATAAAAGCACAACAGCCTGCGCCCTTTTATGTCCAAAACAATTTTTTTAAAACATAAAATTTTATTTTTATTTGTTTGGGTCGTCAGACCAAACAAATAATGGTAGCGAAATTTCAGAGTCTAATGTTCTTAATTGCAAACGCCGAAAGTAGTCCACTTTTTTGAAGCGGTTACTTCCCTTTATATGTACACTAACGCCGAAAAATTCAGGGGAGATCACTGCGTAAAGATGGTCAAAGACAGGCGAATTAATGTTCAAGCAAAATAATTCCCGAATGGTCGAAGATTTCTAATATTGTTTTATTGTATTTTCTGATCGAAATTAAGTAAATACAAAGCGGACATTCAATCTCTGACACAGAAGTTCACAACAAACCTAACAACAAGTAGTTCTCAAAACAGCTTAAAACTAGCGATTTAAAAGAAAGAAATATATTTTTTATTTTGTTACAAGTATCCAACAAATAACAACGCATTCAAAGTTTAAAAATAGCGTTGGCTAATAGAATTGTCAATAAATGCACAATCACAAATTACGCGGATGAAATATGATTTTATCAATGAAAATACTATTTTTAGCGATGTCTATTACCGAATACTACACAAACCGAGTAGTGGAATATATAGATTCTACATGTCGGACTGTTTGGGCGAGAAGATTTTCGCTAAATTATTTACTTCAATTTCAAACAACAGGTTTATCCTGAACAAAATACCTCGAAATTAATAAGGATAACAAACCCGAAATGCAATGGAAGTTCTAAATCTAGAATGACTTGATGTTATTCAGGTGTTATTTGTATAACACCTCCGTGGTGCAGGGGTAACGCGCTCGCTTCAGGATTGAGAGGTCTGGAGTTCAAAACCAAGTCGAGGAAACTTTTTTTTTAAATTCTTTTTTAAGTGTCTTTGTTAAGGAAGTAGCCATGATATGCAAGGATAAAGTGTGACTGTCGTAAAAAATGAACATAAATAATTTTTGATGCATCTCTTGTTATGCAGAATTCCGTATGTATCAAACTCTGGTGCCTTGCAAAATGAATTATAATACATAAAAATAAACTTATACAGGAAAATGCATACAGATATACAGTACGATTAAGATTGCAAAGATCAGAAAATACCACAGAACTTGCATCCCTTTGATTCTTTATAAATATACATGCTTATAGTAAGCTCCAGGATTATTTACATCTGTGTTAAACAACAGTTAAAGTCGTTACAAGCCCTAATTTAGAATAATAAGGTTTTCTTCAGGCCGTCCACATATATTCACCGTGGCTGAAGGGTTTTTGCGCTCGCCTATAAAGCGAGAGGTCTGGAGTTCAAATCCCAGTAAAGGCAACTCATTTGTTTTTCAAATTGTTTAAGTCAAATAAACATTGGATTGCATATCAGTGTTGCAATAAGTCTTATAGCCAATTTACTACAATTAAAACGCTGGAAAGCATTGGTGGCACTATACATATAATCTCACAACCTGCACCTTTCTTGCATTCTGAGACCCAAACAAATTCAGCGCCTTCTGTGCTTTGATTCTATATTGTGGACATTTGGTTACTTATTCAGACTTTGGGTTAATTTTTAGCTCGACTATTCGATAAGAATAAGTAGAGCTATTGTAGTCACCCGAGCGTCGGCGTCCGCGTAACCACTTATGTTAAAGTTTTTGTAATAGTTCAAATATTTTCAAAGTCCATTGACATATGGCTTTGAAACTTTGAATACTTGTTCACCATCATGACCCCAATCTGTAGACAGGAGGAGGTAACTGTATCAAGCATTTTGACAGAATTATGCCCCTTTTTCGACTTAGAATTTACGTTAAAGTTTTTGTAATAGTTCAAATATTTTCAAAGTCCATTGACATATGGCTTTGAAACTTTGCACACTTGTTCACCATCATGACCGCAACCTGTAAACAGGAGGAGTTAACTGTATCAAGCATTTTTTTTTTACTATCAAGCACTAAGAATAGTCGAGCGTTGCTGTCCTACCGACAGCTCTTGTTTCTAAATTGGGTTAAAAACAATTATTGGAAGAAAACTTTGAGTTAATTTTCACTAAACTGGGTTAAAAAAAAATGGAAGAAAATGCAGAGATATTGTCATTTGGTAAATTTATTTGGTGAATCTTTTCTGGCTTTCTGGTAAAGTTTTCATTTATGGTCATAACTTCAATACTACCCATGCTGTAACCAGTTTACTATCTTGCACTGAGATCACTCCTCGGACAGCTCTTGTTTGATTCTTGTTTGTTTAGTATTGAAGAAAACTTTCAGAATTATCAATTCATGTTAACTTACCTTAGAAACAGCTGTTTGGAAGCAATTCTTGTTAAATACTGAAGAATAGCTTTACCTAAAATATTGATTTTCTCATATATTCAAGATTTCTACATTTTGCAAATTTTCAGTTTTATTTAGTGTTATATGATAAGTCTTAAGTCAATTTTCAGTACAAAATAACATTTTGAAAATCTTTTAAAGTTCCTGCTCATTTCCATAAAGTTTATATACATTTTCTTTGAATGGGTTGCTGTAAATGGAAAATATGGAATGAATTTAAAGTAAGGCTAGGTTACTTCTTTCAGTCACATTTTTCTTTTCAAAAACTTTTTTTTGGTCAGCAAGTGGTTAACTGCTCTCTGAGAGCACATATATGTATAAGTGGTTAACTAGTCTATGCATTAGATAAGTGGTTAACTGGTATTTGATGGTAGAGAAGTGATTAATTAACTGGTCCCTTAGGGACAGATGAGTGGTTAACAGGTCTCTGGTGGCAGATGGTTAACTGCCTACCAAGGGTAGATATGTGGTTAATTGGCTATCAATGGTATATATGTGGTTAACTGGCATCCAAGGGCAGATAAGTGGTTAACTGGCTTCGATGGGGAGATAAGTGGTTAACTGGCTACCCAGGGTAGATATGTGGTAAAGTGGTCTCCAAGGGCAGATATGGAAGATTGTTAATTGGCCACATTGGCAGATAAGTGATTAACTAATTGTTCATTGAAATCTGTTTCGCTGATTTCTCTTTTTAAAAATCAGCATTTTAAGTGTATTATGACAGGGTTTGTCTATATATGTTCGATGTGACATCCATCAATTCTGAAACTAAATTACTGCGTGAAAAAAGTCTTGGCAGTAAAATCAGGTTGGGGAACATTGTAAATTGCTTGTTTATTTTGTAAGTCATATTTCAAGGGCTGTTTATTAACCCACATATAATGATATCATGTGACAAGTGGAGCCTTAAGTTGGGGAAAAAGCAGAGAATGTGTCCCCAAGGATTGTTGTAGATGTTGTCTATTGATTGGAAAAGGGTTATATGTCATAAACTCTAAAGAGCAATTAGTTGATGGAAATATTTTTGGTATATTATATATGATGATTGTGTCCGTAACACAAAACCTTGCAAGGACATTCACTGAATCATTATCAGTCCCACTCACTTATAATACCCAAAAGTGTATGTATTGTGTGGGTTTTGACGGCATATATAATTATGTCATTGCAGATATGTATCTGATTCTCATTAAGTCGATAAGGTCATTTCTGATCAATAGCTTGGTATGTATTTATCGTTGCTGACTAGCAATGTATTTGTTATCTCAGATTGGTATATATTTCTGAATTATGTCAGTTCCAACCGGATATTTATCATGTCAGATTGGTATATATTTTCTCATGAAGGTCAGTTCGGACAACTTAGTAAAGTCTTTACAGATTGGTATATATTTCTGATTTCTGAATTAGATCAGTTCAGACAGTTTGGTATATACCAGCTATTCAATATGTCTGATTGGTATATATTTTCTCATATAGGTAAGTTCAGATAGCTTGGTATATACCAGCTATTTAACATGTCTGATTGGTATATATTTTCTTATATAGATCAGTTCGGACAGCTTAGTATATACCAGCTATTTTACATGTCTGATTGGTATATATTTTCTCATATAGATCAGTTCGGACAGCTTGGTAAATACCAGCTATATAACTTATGTCTGATTGGTATATATTTCTGATTTAGGACGGTTTGAACAGTTTGGTATATATTTTTCATAATATGGTAGGTTTAGCTCTTCTTAAAACAAGTCTTTTTAAAGGTATCTGACCTTTGTGCATCACTGCTTATAAGGCATTCCTGGTGAAGATATCTACATTTAGGAATATTTACTTGGAAACATCATTAATTAATAAGATTTCCTTTTTTGGAGTTAATGGGAATTAAAACGTGTCAAATAAAATGCCTATGTAGCATCTTTCTGTTAAAAATGTACATAGTTCTTTTTTATTTGCAGAAAATGAACTAGAGTTTTCTAAAAATAAAACATTTGATGTTTTATGTGATAGATGGTTGTCGATAATAAATCAAGCAAAGGGTGGTTGTTAGGCAGCCGTCTCCCTGGAGACCAGCAACTTTATTTGTCTGTTCTGTCTTTCCATTAGAGATGTCATTAGTAACTGATAGGGTTTTCCAGAGCTATTAAAGCTCATTGTTTTATGTTCTACAGATTTGTTAGATAGTACTAAAACTTAACCGAATAACATTTAACGAGTCTGTACATCATCTAATGGCCTTGTTTGTGAGAATTTAAGGTGTTTTTTTTTCTCTGTTTATTTCAAAGGAATAGGAAAAAAAAATTCTCATAAAGTTGACGATAGTATATGTTCAACATTTAATCAGTTTTTTTATCATTATGATTAAGTTTTTTTTGTCGAGAATTTGATTTTTTTGTTTGTTTTGATTTCAATCAATTGTATCATAGTTTGGGGACCTTTCTGTTGAAAAAATGTCAGAGTTAAATCGTATACATATACATGCACAGTGCGGTAGCTGGAGTGCAGGTATCAGTTACCCGCACTCCAGATAATGCCAGTTGATTGGTTCATTTTTGCTGGGGTTTACATATTGTGACGGCAGAGAAAGGGAAAGGGGCAGAAATGTCATATTCAGATGCTCGTTCATTGGTTCATTTTTTCTGGGGTTTCGTATTATGACAACAGGGAACGTGCTGTCATGTTTGACTATGATACAAAAGAGAAAGAACACCAAAACACTCGGCAATCTGATTTATACTCATGGGCTACGCCCCCTCGTACAAATCAGATAGCCTCGTGTTTCGGTGCTCTTTCTATTACGTAGATCATTGTTTTAATGTTTGTAATATACCTGTTGCCTGATTAACTTTTGATATTCTTGTGAAAATACATGTACTTAATGATCAAGTACATAAAGCAATGTGTACTTGAAGACACTTTGTGTTTTTTTCATGAGTTAATTTGAATTAAGTGTCTCCTGTCAAAAATATTGTAAAAGTCGGACACCATTGGAAATTTGCTCCTCCCAGTTCTATTTTTAGATAATCTTGGCCTTAAATTGTTTTTGGGCTTTCTTTTTGTATAGGCACCATCTTGACATTCCTCATGTTGTTGTTTTGTATAATTACAAAACATGATATTATTAAATATCAATTATCTTTATATATTGTTGTTAAAATTCAGACTTTTCTAGAGATCTTTAATTTCTATCTTAAATTCTAAATTATAAACACTATTTCATATTTGTTTGTCGTGGAGTTCCACTTAAACCAGTGTTACAAGCTAGCAATTACCATGCACAGGCACATTTTCAATTTTGAAGTGTTTTGCGTTCCTTAAGGTTTTCATGTTCATCTGTCTTCTATATAAGCTATTGAAATCTAACTGTTGACTTGTACTTCATAATCATATATAACACAGACTGTTATATAAGCTTACATATCATTTTCAAGCCTTTTATCGCCCTAGAGTAAACAGTTTGCCAAATAAGCACATTGTCATCTTACCATCATAATCTGTACAGCTTTGCCAAAAATAAACTGATCTAATTGTTCCCCGTCAAGTCAGCGAGAATGTACAGAATATCATTTCACTTGCGATTTTGTTTGCAATCAATCACTTTGCTTTTATTATATGATGGAAATTTCACACTTGGGTCAATATTTCTTTGGAATTGGGGTCCCTTTAGATGAATGTTTACACTGCTCTTGTCTTGGAAGTGAAAATATCGCCCTAGTTCCGATCCATTAAGAGACAAAAAAGACGTCTGCTGTAATACAATTATCATGTTACGTTTATCGCCTATGTTTATTACCTTGCGGAAAGTTACAACATACTACTTGTACTCATTACAGTTAAGACAACTTTTGATTAATCCTGAATGTTTAAAACTGTTTCTTTAAACATGTAATTGAATTGAGGGGTTTTAGTTTGAAATGCTTCTCAAACATGTTGTGTAAACGATCAGCACTTTTGGTGAAATTTTAATTTTAAAACTGCACTTTAAGATCTTGAGGTACAAGATAAAGTGCAAATGTTTTAGAGACAAAATGTTTAGATGTTATTAATGTCCTTGAGTGTCAAGATTTTGATGAAAGATATTTTAAGCTCATTTACATTAATAATCCAAGCCAACATAAAAGAATTGCTAATCCAGAATATGCAGAAAAGAAGATTTTTTAAGGTCTGAAATGCATTTTTTAAAACGACAACGTCAAAAGTTATTGGCATAATGGTAAAAAAAATGCACATATTTGTATGTGAATTTGAGAAAGGAACTCTCATTGGTTAAAATCAAATCAGTGCAGAATTTCAACCAATCAAAGTAGAAAATTAAAGATGGTTTAATATTGATTGCCCAGACATTTGAAGATTGAACATTTCCATTTAAAATTACATGCTTTAATTAGTCTGGCTTAACTTTATCATTTAAATGGGAGAAAAATCTTGATTGTTTAAATATCTTGGTATTACCCCAAATTAATTTGTCCCTGGTTTAAGCCTGGTGTGTGGTCTTATGCCAAATGTCACTGGTTTAGGCTGGAGCATGGTCTTATCTCATATTTGTCACTGGTTGTGACTAACCCCATATTTTGTCACTTGGTTAAGCTGGAGTACAATAAAAAAAAATTTTAGTTTGTGAGAATGTATGTCTGTATCAGTATAAACTTTCCACAACTGCAGAATGATAAACTTGTCCAAGTTTTGTTCCTCTTTGGTTGTCTTTAGCATAAAACTTGTCCAAGTTTTGTTCCTCTTTGGTTGTCTTTAGCATAATAATGTAGTGGAATAGCATTCACCATCATGACTTGATTGTATAGAATTTGTTTGTAAGAGAATAGATATTATAATTCTGTATGAATCAACAATCAATTTTATTATTTCATGTTGTTTTTTAGGCCATATATTCCATGTTGGGAAATGCCTTGACCAACCAAGATACTGACAGCCCCGAGGATCGAACGACCAAAATCTTTGCCAAGATGGATGTTAACAATGATGGTGTCTTAACGCGTTCCGAGTTTGTTGATGGATGCATGAAAGACCAGTTCCTATACCAGATGTTGACAGCAGACGCCGGGGGTTGTAACCAGGAATAAACTTTATAAACACTTATATCTCATGTTCATTCTTTCATTTTTATACATTTGTGTTCTTTTTAAATCTTGGACATACTTTAGCAGACGGATATGCAGAATGTAAAATGAGAACTTTGCAAGAATAATAGAGTTGATTAAATAAGAAAATACCCTTTTTTAATAGTTTTGTATTGATGTTTGGAAAATGAAAGGCGTTACTAAGAAGGTACATTTTTATGTCCCTTGTTTACTCTTCAATGTAAAGATAGGAAAAGTACATGCGGACCAGAAAATGGATTTCTGTTCTATTTCTGCAAGATTTGAGAATTGTTGTGTGACAAAATGCAATAAAAGAGCATCTACGTTTTATGAGGTCTATGAGAACTGACAGAATACTTGAAACAGTTATTTATAGCAGGTCAGGATATATTCCATGGTCATTCAGTACAGATTTTTCAGGTCTCTGACTGGCATGGGTTTTATTTTTTGTGTGTTCATATTTAATAAGGTAAAAGAATTTTAAAGAACCAAAAGTTTAGACTGGTTTGAAACTGTGATTGGGAATTGGGCATAATGTATAACTACTATTGTAAACCCAATTACCAAAACTTTTTAAGTGTAAATATACATTAATCAAAGATCAAGGTCATGTTTGAAGCTTATTTAGGAGATGTTTTAATTTCCAAGAACATGTATTTGCCATTAAATCCCACATTCCTAGGATTATGATTAAATTGTAATTTTTTGAATCATGCCATATTATTTCATTTGTGAATAGTTTCACCATTTTGCACATTTTTTCTCCATTTTTTCCCATTTTTCTACTTGCTTAAAATAGATGTAAAAACAATTCTTATTTATCAATCCATACAATTTTTTTTATCAAATATTTTTTTTTATAATATAATAAAAAATAAGTAAGGAAGCTTTTTGAAGATAAAATTACCCATACCAGTAAAATTTCATCATGTTGTGTCCTACTTCATAATACCAGTTGTGTTCTGTTTTTTTTCTCTTTCCCCTAAATTTTTAGTTTCTTGCTGTAACATTTTTATTGCTTAATACCTGTTGAAAACCAATTTTATAATTACAGATATACACCTGCAGTAAAATTTTTCTGTTTTGCGTGGAACTGTTGTTGTGAACATAAATTTCAGTTATTTGAAATACTAATATTTGAAATATTAATATTCAAGGGCAATAACTCATTATGCTACTTTTTTTCAAAACAAAATGGGTGCATGATTTCCAGAAAGATCAACAAAATTATACTTTAAATTTTTACTAACATTTCTGAATTTGTTAAAAAAAAGTTATAATTACTTTCCTAATTGGCAGCAGATAGTGTAGGCAGACATTCCATCAACCTGTAACCTCATTCCTACTAACGTCATTTCCTCTCAAATGATTTTCGGTGACATTTTATTTGTGATTTGAATAAATCAGTGAAAATTATGATTATCGAAATTTTGCTAAGTTAGTATTGAACACGAATTTCATTTTATTATGGCCTCACAATTGGATTACAAGATGACATTATGGAAATATATGGGAAAATTTAATTTCATTTTAACATGTGTCAATTAATATTGATATTTAAATAAAAATATTATAGTATACAGATGTTTTTATGCCACCGCAGCATCTGCGATGCGGTGGCATATAGCGATTCACCTGTGTGTGTGTGTGTGTGTGTGTTTGTGTGTGTGTTTGTGTGTGTGTTATATAGATTATATAGTGAACTTAAAAAATCTTCTTGTGAAAAACCACTAGTCCAATTTCAACCAAACTTGGCAGGATTGTTCCTTGGGTGAAGGGCTTCCAAAGTTGTTCAAAGAATTTCATTCCATGCAGAAATCTGGTTGCCATGGCAACCAAAAGGAATTATAAGAATAAATTTAAAAAATCTTCTTGTAAAGACCCAAAAGGCCTAGAGCTTAGATATTTTGCATAAGGCATTGTCTGGTAGACCTCTAACAAGATTGTTCAAATTATAGCCCTGGGGTCAAAATTGGCCCCGCCCCGAGGGTCATTGATTTTCACTATGTACATATAGTAAAAACTTAAAATACCTTCTTGTAAAAACCCAAAAGGCCTAGAGCTTAGATATTTTGCATAAGGCATCTTCTGGTAGACCCTTACCAAGATTGTTCAAATTATAGCCCTTGGGTCAAAATCGGCCCCGCCCCGTACATATAGTGAAAACTTAAAATACCTTCTTGTAAAAACCCAAAAGGCCTAGAGCTTAGATATTTTGCATAAGGCATCTTCTGGTAGACCCTTACCAAGATTGTTCAAATTATAGCCCTTGGGTCAAAATCGGCCCCGCCCCGGGGTCATTGAATTTCACTATATGTACATATAGTAAAAACTTAAAACACCTTCTTGTAAAGACCCAAAAGGCCTAGAGCTTATATATTTTGCGTAAGGCATTGTCTGGTAGACCTCTACCCAGATTGTTCAAATTATAGCCCTGGGGTCAAAATCGGCCCCGCCCCGGGGGTCATTGGTTTTCCTTATATGTATATAGTAAAAACTTATAGTAATAGTAAAAACTTCAAAAAAAATTCATCTAGCAATTGACAAATGCTAGAGGTTAGATATTTTGCATGAAACATTGTGTAGTAACCTCTAGCAAGATTGTTCAAATTATAGCCCTGGGGTCAAAATTGCCCCCGCCCTTGGGGTCATTGATTTCAATATATACATATAGTAAAAAAATAAATAAATCTTATTGTCTGAAGGTACAAGGCTTAGAGCTTTAATATTTGTTAAATTATATCATCTGAAGGTACTCTACAAAATTTATTCAAATTTTGCCTCTTGTGTCAAAATTAGCCCCGCCCCCTGGTGGCCATAGGTTTTCCTTATATGTATATAGTACAAACTTAAAAAATCATCTTCTCTAAATTTACAAGGCTAGAGTTAAGATATTTTGCATGAAACATTGTGTAGTGAACCTCTGGCAAGATTGTTCAAATTATAGCCCTGGGGTCAAAATTGGTTCCGCCCGGGGGGTCATTGATTTTCATTATGTACATATAGTGAAAAAATAAAAAATATTTTTGTCTGAAGGTACAAGGCATAGAGCTTTGATGTTTGATATATAATATCATTTATAGGTCCTCTACCAAAGTTGTTCAAAATTTTCCCCTGGTGTCAAAATTGGCCCTGCCCGGAGGCAGTGATTCTCATTATGTACACATAGTAAAAACAGAAAATAAAACAAATGTTTTCTGAATGGGAGAAAGCTATAGCTTAGATATTTGACTTGAAATGTTGTTTGGTGGACCTGTATCAAAATTGTTTTGAATTAAACCCTTGGGTCAAAATTATGCCTTGCCCAAGGGGACAGTGACCTACTTTCTTGTCCTTTGATGTACAGCAATGACATTTTGACCATGTGCACAGTTTTAGTTGTAAAATTGAACTTTGATATCAGGTGACCTAGATTTTGATGATGTGACCTACTTTCTTGTCCTTTGGTGTACAGCTATGAAATTTGAACCATGCGGTGGCATAGCATTTTTATCAAATGCAATCTTGTTTTATTTATGATGAAATATTATTAAATATTATGTTTTGTAAACAAATATTAGAAATGATGATGTATTTTAATTAACTGTGTGAGAACTACTTGATATTATTTTGTCGAGTCGAGGAAGTTTTAGTTAATAGAAGGAAGGTTCATGAAATATTTTCACAAAGAAATGACTGCAGACGAAAAATGTATTTTAATCAGTTATGTAGGTAAATAAAATGCAAGACAAAATTGAAGTTAAGTACAAATTGATATTGACTGGCAACAGAAAATAGACATTTTTTTTGGACAAGTAGCATTTTGAGATCTTTTTTTCTTTGATGGTGGGTGAGCTTATTGTGACAAGAATTAATAATGCAGTGAATAATATTCCTTATTTTGGAAAAAAAAAATTCCCCCCCTGAGAAAAGTTAATAGATCATTGCATTCCATGACATGTTTTGATGAAAAGAGTTTTGGAGGATGACTAAGTACATAGGATTTGGTCTGAAATTAGACTGTACCCGATAAAGTTGACAGCGTACAATACTTCCTGTTAAGAGATCTGTGTATAGACATCATCTATACAATAAAGTAATAATTCACAATAAATACTGTCTGTTTTTGTATAGACCCTGGAATTTTCAGTTTTATGACCATTTAATGCAAAATTTTGTCTCCAAAATTGAAGTTTTTCCAATATGTAGTTGAATAAAAGAATATTTAGTGAACCATGTCGGAACAATTGCCTTCAATTGAACCGGTTTGAACAAGTATTTTCCAGATAAGATAGTCACAATTTGAAAGTTTCACATGACCTGAAATAGTTTATTTTCTGTAAAAATGGCAAATCTGTACACAAATGTTTTAGAAAACAAGGTATAAATTGCCAGATTCTTTAGCTGTATTATTTATTCAGATTTATTCACTATATTAGTTATATACATGTAATTCAAATTTTCCATAAAATTTATCACAAGTACCCACCATTTTTCTACAAGAAACTAACATTTTGGCTCACATTTTTACTACCCATCGGCATTTATTAAACCATTTCATAATCCATTTAATTCCAACCTAGATAACCAACAGTTAATCTGCTGGAACTGTAAGTAAATTAGCCCCTACCACCAGTATAGAGCCAGGCCAGCCTGTACGGTGCATTCTGTGCTGTCTGACCAGGCCCAATACTGCGGGTAGCCCAATTTTCTGTATATTGAAATTGAAATCTCAAATTTTGAATGGACTGTTCCAAATTCAAAGCAGGGCAAGTCCATTATACAAATTCAGCATGTTAAGGGTCAGCCATTTTGAAACCGAACCAAACGATTCCAGTCTGTATCATTTTTGCAATAGCTAGTTTGAAGTATTGTTTAAGCATTTAGAAAACCAGTTTAGTGTTCCTTAGACATTAGTTTCACCGTGACCAGTTTCAAAACCAATGTTGTATAAAAGCATTTTTTCCACATAATGTGTTGTACATGGCACATAGGTTCACAAAGCATTGTGTTATACCTATTTTGTATTCTTCACAATTTGGAACAATTGTTTGTTCTTTTATATTATATGTATTATTGTTTTTACAATCATATGCAGAATTTTCAATGCTCATGTCGCTGTTCAATGTGATTTTTATGGGGTAACAAATGTGACCTGTGTAAAAGTGTTGACATACATATAAACTATTGTTACTTTGTCGGTACAGTACTTCGAGTAAAAAACGAAAGGCGTGTAGATAAAACTATCATTCATAGCAGACAAGCAAGTGCCATGTTTATTAATATATGGCTATGATGTAGATCTTTGGTGAAACATAACCATGAAGAAAATTTTCTCATTAATCATAGCTACAAAGTGATTCATTGTTATTCATAGCTATAAAGTTACTTTATGGTAATTTACAACTATGTAAATTATGGTTATATGGTTAAATTTATGGTTATAGCTATGAAGTTACTTTCCTGGTTATAGCTATGGAATAACACTCGTCATAGCTATGATTATTATTTTCAAAATTGATCAAAGCTTTGAAGTGATTATATTGCTGTTATTCATAGCTGTTTAGTAAAGTTCATCTTGTATCATGGCTACAAACCCAGCTTTGCCGAGAACATCAGCCAGTAAGGTAACTTGTGAATCTTGTGGATAATTCTCAGTATATGGTGACAGTTAGTTAACCACTGGAACAAACTATAGCTACAAAGTTTAACTACCATTGTTTATCATAGCTAAATACCAAATAAATTTGATAAATAAATATTATATTCGTGTAGATTCAATACTTAGTCTAAATTTATTGAACTTGTTGAATAAAACAATATTATACTGGCCAAAGGCTCGCATAAAATGATTTTATTCAACTCGTTCAATAAATATAGTCTCTATTTATCACAGAAGTACTGAACTTTAAAGTAACAACAGTATGGTGTATGTTTTTTGGGTTTTTTTTGTTGTTTTTGACTGGTTCTCAGAATGAAAGTTGTACTCACTTTATATAATTATGACCTACTTTTCTTTTCTTTTTTTGCTTGAATCCACATCTTTGTATCACAAGCTTTATTATCACTTACATTTACATCTATTTCTTGCGAATGGAATAATTTTGATTAAAAGTGACCTTTTAAACATTTTTTTTAATTATCTGGTGGTATATTTGAAGGTATAAGTAAAATGTGACAATTTGGATTTTAGTGAAAGTATGAAAGTATTCAATTTGGCTAAGCTACTAGTTAAATATTAATTTTTTCGTTTTTCTTTCGATTTTTTATCCAGTAAATTTTTTTATTGTGTGTTGTTAAGCTTGTTATAAATATTGTTGTTATTAATTGTTACTTAGCAACTTAATAATGTGTAAAAATAATTGGAAATGGCTATCCTAAAATGATTCAATTTATTTTTCAGTGTCATTATCTTAGTTTTTTGAAAAATTAATTAGTTATTCAATCAAGTCAAAATAGTTGCTTAAATCGAAATACATTTTGAACTGTTATTAAGAACTAATTCTTGCCTGGTTGGTCATTTATTGAGATAGTCAAATGCATGTCAAGTTATCGCTTTACTGTTATACTTAATCTTTTTGTACATAGGAAAAGATTTTTTTTGCCAATGAATCGTCATAATTCCACTATGTTAAGTTTATTTTAAGCAAGATATCTTTATATACGTGTATTTTTAGTATCTTATTTTATTTTGCGAACTTGCATAACAGTGTGTTTCAGTTAGTGTGAAAATTACATTGTAAAGATGGACATTAAATTATACAAAATACAAAAAAGTTACATCATCATTTTATTTTAAAGGAACTCCACTGAGGTCCAAAAGCATAAAAACATAAAATTGGAATTTCTTACATAGATCAACTGGGGCATTAAAACAGCAAGGTAATGCAACAGATAATTAGGAAATATTCTCAGAAATAATTTCAAAATTGTATTTTTGTGCTATTATTAGCCCAATTTGATTGTAAAAGGTTGCAACACTGATTTTTCACAAGTAGAATGAATATTCTGGAAAAACTTCTGGTCAAATTTTGTACGTCTAGACTTGCATCAAATGAAACAATCAAAAAATTATTCCAGTCCTGTTTTGTCAAAAACCTCAGTGGAGTCCCTTTAAAATAAAGAAAATATTCTTTGCATACATTGTGAAATATATTTTTGAAAAAGGTAATATCTACACTTTACAATATTATAACTTGAATAACAATATGAGTAATGTTTAAGAGGCACTTGTAGTTCTTGTTGTAATTTCAATAGAAATTGTACATCAAATATTTCATATTACATTTTAATAAGTGAACTTTCAATGAAAATCAGAATAAAATATTTAGATCATTTTAAAAGAATCGCTGAATAATAAGTAGATTGAATAGAATCAATTTTAACGTCATTTTCACGGTCAGTATTTGTCAGTGTCCAAATATGCCAAATTCTAACTTTTGTTTACCAGTATTTGTTGAAGATTTTCATGAAAACTTGGGTCAAAATTTCATAACAACCATTCATTTTTATCAAAGTTCATCTGGAAATATTATCCTCTGGAAACATTATTGTCAGATATTCGGAACATTTTTATTATTATCATAATTTTTTGGAAATTTGAAAATTTAATGAATTTACACCAAAGTTTGAGAAGTAGACATTTAAACCATCATGAATGTGAGCCAAACTACATGCGGATCTAAGACAAGAAGGGGACCATTACATACCTTTTCTATTTGGTTTGAATTGGTTCATTTAGGTTCATTAAGATGCATCTTGTGATGCTAGTGCAGGGGAAACATTTCAGTAATCATGATCTATCAATTCATTTACATTGAAAATAAAAGTTTAGGGGAAAAAAAAGGTTATTTCAGGCATGTTTTAAAGAGAATCATAGTATAAATTTTAGGAGTTACACTTTGAGTGATGCCTCGTGCAAATGGTGATTTTGTTTTATAAATCATAATCTTTAGATGTAAATCATCATATTTATTAAGAAACAATGAAATTAAGAATTGTTAGAAAGTTTTCTACTTGCATTTTTAAGTATGTATGTTTATATGTGATTACATTGTACTTAGATATTAAATTTTTCTTACAGTTTATTAAGAACAAAACATTTGAAGAAAAAAAATCACTGTACAACTATCACAACAGTGATTTGATAAGCATACATGTATGTAAAATGACGCCATGAAATTTTCAACAAAAATGTTTTTATGAAAGGAAACACAAGATCTGTATGTATATGAAAGTGTTGATAGATTTTAAGCATAACAAAATTATATCCATATATAGTTTCCATGTAGACTGAGATATTTATTAGGTCAAAGGTCAAAAGTCCGAATCTGTAGTGCTGCTTTTTTGTGTCACTTTTATTTTGTTGTCGTTTTTTAGGGCACACGGCATGACTGAGTGAGAAAATAAGAAATCATAAAAATAATAATTCAATCATTTTTGAGAGCTCTGGAAAAAAATTAATATGATTTTTTTTTTCTCGTTGAATAAAAGTATTAAATTTGAATTTATATATTAATTATACTACTAATTTGTAAAAATCTGATTCAGAAACAAAATAGCTTGCATTTATTTGTCAATTTCAGCTTTTTTGGCATTTTTTATTCTATTTTCAAAATGTTGCCTAGATTTTTTTCATCAGTATAGGAAAGATATTGTAAATGTATGTAAAAGAAATTTGTGAAATTATTAAATGTTTCATCACACACTTCCTGGGTACACTTATTACATGTAAGTCTGTATAGCAATAGAAAATTTCATTCTATAATATCATTACTGTGTTTGTTCTTAATGTAGCCGTCCTTTATTCCGAGTTTCTTTGGCCAAGCTGTATCGCCCCTTTATTTCGAGTCTTCATGGCCAAGCGATCTTGCCAACTTTTACTTTTGTTGTATCCTTCCGTAACCTCTGACCTTTTGTAAAAAATTACTGGCTGGAAAGTTACAGCATTCATAAAAGTCACTGTCTTCAAGGACCACCTGATGCCTTCAGCCAGATTACAAGCTTAAAAGTTGCCATATGACCTGAAAATACTTCTTATAATAATGATTCAGAGGAGCGAGTCTAGAAAACCTATTTTTCATTGAATCCCACTTCCTTGATGATGACTTGTTACAAAGGTTCACATGGATAGATAATCTTTGACCTTTTATAGATTACCCAAATAACCTTTAGTCCAGAAACACTTGCTATAATTGTCAGGAGAATCTAATACAATCAGCAAAATGTAATGAAGATTGGAGATGAAGTTTGACCTTGACATCTAGAAACTCCATGCCAATAAAATTGGGTAAAGAAGAAACAAGTTTTCTATTGTATAAGAAAGGCATTTTCATATTATGAGTTCAAGAAAATAATACAAAACTAATAATATAGTTATGAGATGTTGATCAGTAATATAAGGTGCTTGGCATCACAATAACCCATACACATTGCATTGTATAGGCTCGCAGTAAATGATCTACATTGATTCTGTTCCTTCTGTGTTTTTGGCTAGAATCGTGTTCAGTTGAAGTTATGAGAACTTTTCTCTGCAAAGGTTCTGTTATTCATGTACAAACAAATTTCTGAATATTTTATCAAAATCTGCAATCAGTAGCATAATTACTGTTTGAAAATAAATTTGGACGCTGCATCACAAATCACTGGAGAGTGGAGTGATAAAAGAAATCTGCAGTGGCTTTATTTAATGCCAGTCCATATAAGTGAATTGCTGGGAGAACACATACAAAACTGTATGAATATTTTGTTATAGTAAATCATTTTATTAGATTTTATTGTAAACAAGTATACCACTTAACAAAACTATAAAATATGCATGCAATATTTGTTATAGATATGTCAAAACTCTAGCACATTTAACAATGACACCCCACGGAAAACAAACTCACAAAAGACAAACTTCCAAAAAAAGACTGGTCAATACTTGCACCAGAACATTACCATACTTCCATGGTACATAATACCGTACTTTTGCAGGTACATAATACTGTACTTCCATAGTACATTCTATCGTACTTGCATCAATACATAATATGTACTTTTGCCGGTACATTAATACTGTACTTGCACCGGTACATTAGGTACATTATACTGTACTATAACCGGTACTTAATATCGGCACTTGCAGCAGTACATAATACCGTACTTGCACCAGTACATAATATCGTACTTGCACCAGTACATAATACCGTACTTGCACCAGTACATAATACCATACTTGCACCAGTACATAATACCGTACTTGCACCAGTACATAATACCATACTTGCACCAGTACAAAATACCGTACTTGCACCAGTACATAATACCATACTTGCACCGGTACATTATACTGTACTTGCACCAGTACATAATACCATACTTGCACCAGTACATTATACTGTACTTGCACCAGTACATAATACCATACTTGCACCAGAACATAATACCATACTTGCACCAGTACATAATACCGTACTTGCACCAGTACATAATACCATACTTGCACCAGTACATAATACCGTACTTGCACCAGTACATAATACAGTACTTGCATCAGTACATAATACCGTACTTGCACCAGTACATAATACCATACTTGCACCAGTACAAAATACGGTACTTGCACCACTACAAAATACCATACTTGCACCAGTACATCATACCGTACTTGCACCAGTACATAATACCGTACTTGCACCAGTACATAATACCATACTTGCACCAGTACATAATACCATACTTGCACCAGTACATAATACCATACTTGCACCAGTACATAATACCGTACTTGCACCAGTACAAAATACCGTACTTGCACCAGTACATAATACCATACTTGCACCAGTACATAATACCATACTTGCACAGTACATAATACCGTACTTGCACCAGTACATAATACCATACTTGCACCAGTACAAAATACCGTACTTGCACCAGTACATAATACCATACTTGCACCAGTACATAATACCATACTTGCACCAGTACATAATACCGTACTTGCACCAGTACATAATACCATACTTGCACCAGTACATAATACCACACTTGCACCAGTACATAATACCATACTTGCACTGGAATATATTATCGTACTTTCACCAGTATATAATACCGTACTTGCACCAGTACAAAATACCGTACTTGCACCAGTACATAATACCGTACTTGCACCAGTACAAAATACCGTACTTGCACCAGTACATAATACCATACTTGCACCAGTACATAATACCGTACTTGCACCAGTACAAAATACCGTACTTGCACCAGTACAAAATACCGTACTTGCACCAGTACATAATACCACACTTGCACCAGTACATAATACCATACTTGCACTGGAATATATTATCGTACTTTCACCAGTATATAATGCTGTACTTGCACCAGTTCATAATATTGGTACTTGCACCATTACATAATAAAGCAACAGATATTTTTAAATTACAATACTATGTGTAAATTTTAGTGTTTTCTTTTTCCACTGCATTACAAAAATGGTTTAATATGAAAACATTCTGATCTTCAATTGTGAAAGTAAATATAGTGCAAACTATCCAAATGGTTAAAATAAAAAACAATTTGTGAAAGAAAGTAAAACATTTTTTCCATTCAAAGGAATAATGAATATTCCTAATAAAAAAGTTTTTAACCATCTAAAAAGAAAAAAATCCCCCACAAATCTAGAAAATTATTTTGACCTTCCAGTCTATTAGTTGAAATCAACCCATCCCTTAAGATGATACAATAAATAGTCACTGCCCTAAAAAAAAAAAAACAATCAAAAAAGTAAAACAGTTCCATCCCTTTTCAAGAAATCACAAGTTCCCAATTTCCGAGGTTTTATTGCACTATATTATTAACACAGTGAACTTAAGAGTTAACTACAATATTTGTGTTACAACCCACGAAGGAAAGCTTGCTCTGCAACTATCAACAAACAAAATTAAAAAAGCAAAACCCAAACCTATAAAGCTAATTGATTGCAATTTTTTATGCCAAGAAGTCGGCACTTTGTAAAAACAATTAGTACAGTTTTGAAAATTAAACCAGTATCTTTGCACTTAACTTTCTTCTTTAACTGTTTTAACATTTTTAATTGGCAATTATGTTGAGACTTAGTGCCAGAACAATTTGTTGCCAGTTGACAGAAAATATTAAACTGATCTATGTAGAAAGTCTCTCAAGAAGAATTTTCTACCAGATTCTTTTACAAAACAAAAAAAGCAATAAAAGAAAAGTAGTTTTAGTGTAATAGTGTCATTTGAAAGGGAAACTCCCATGTACTACACTAATTGTGACTCAGCTTAGGTAAAAAGTGATCCAAGTATTCAATAGCAAAATTAAAATAAGAGTCTTTGACATCTATAATACTATAGATCTATTGTATACATGTAGTATTTTTTTCCATCCAAAATAATTTCTGGTCTGAATAATATAGTATGGTATATATATATTGATAATATATTCATTGTATATGATGGCCTCTTACAATTCAGATGTATCTCACGGTAAGTCTTTAATTTATCTGTTGTTTTTTTGGGTTTTTTTACAATTTAGTGTAAGTCTTCAATTTATCTGGCTCCTTACAATTTAGTGTAAGTCTTTAATTTATCTGACTTCTTATTATTTAGTGTAAGTCTTAAAATTATCTGACTTCCTACACTTCAGTGTAAGTCTCTAATTTATCTGACTTCTTTCAATCTAGTGTAAGTCTTTAATTTATCTGACTTCTTACAATTTAGTGTAAGTCTTTAATTTATCTGACTTCTTTCAATCTAGTGTAAGTCTTTAATTTATCTGATTTCTTTCAATCTAGTGTAAGTCTTTAATTTATCTGATTTCTTTCAATCTAGTGTAAGTCTTTAATTTATCTGATTTCTTTCAATCTAGTGTAAGTCTCTAATTTATCTGACTTCTTTCAATCAAGTGTAAGTCTTTAATTTATCTGATTTCTTTCAATCTAGTGTAAGTCTTTAATTTATCTGATTTCTTTCAATCTAGTGTAAGTTTCTAATTTATCTGACTTCTTTCAATCTAGTGTAAGTCTTTAATTTATCTGATTTCTTTCAATCTAGTGTAAGTCTTTAATTTATCTGGCTCCTTACAATTTAGTGCAAGACTTCTTACAATCTAGTGTAAGTCTTTAATTTATCTGGCTCCTTACAATTTAGTGCAAGACTTCTTACAATCTAGTGTAAGTCTCTAATTTATCTGACTTCTTTCAATCTAGTGTAAGTCTTTAATTTATCTGATTTAATTCTTTCAATCTAGTGTAAGTCTTTTAATTTATCTGGCTCCTTACAATTTAGTGCAAGACTTCTTACAATCTAGTGTAAGTCTTTAATTTATCTGGCTCCTTACAATTTAGTATAAGACTTCTTACAATCTAGTGTAAGTCTTTAATTTATCTGACTTCTTAAAATTTATTTCATCTGGCTTTTACAATTTAGTGTAAGTCTTTAATATTTAGTGTAAGACTTTAATTATCTTGCACACAATCTTCTCAAACTGAATTTTCATACTAAATGCCAGAAAATGCCCTTTACCTTAAAAAATCATACTAAATGTTTAGTAATCACAAGCTACAAAAATCTTAACAAACATTCCATGTATATAAAATATAGCTAAAATGTATATCAAATCAGGGTATACCAAAATATAAGTAGTTCACAACTTAAGTACCATATAACTTATTCCAGTTTACAGCAAACAAAAATATCTACAAAAATTAATCTAATATTGCATGCAAGCAATCTATATCTATATACTGGAAAAAAATA